AGTTTGACATTTTGCCTTTTGTCTCCTCTAGTCTAGCTCCCGTTGCCGGAATTGTCTACACGTTTGGAGCCTTCACCGCCTTCTGTTTCGCTGCCTGCCGGCTCGCCCCACCACAGACTCTAGCCTCAACATACAGCCAGCACCCTCCTCTCCTATCTGGACTCTCCTCTACTACAGTAAGGACTACCAACCTCACCACGGGATTCATTCTTCCTTTCAACCCTCCTAACGGTCTTTTTCTTTTATCTAGTGCCCCTCCTTTCCTGAGGTTCCTCCTCCCCCCCCCCCCCCCTGAAGATCTCCAACATTTTTACCCAAAAAACATTGTTCTCACTTCTACCTCTGCCTAGTGTCTGCATTTGGGCCCTCACATTACAGGGGACGGCTAGTCCAGCTAGCTGTGACAGAATCAGTAAACATTTATTGCCGAAATATGTCATACATACAAGGACTTTTACTTAGCGGTTGGTGCGTGACAGTGTGACAATAGACAAGACCGCAGTGCACGAGTAATAAAATAAAATGCTAATGCTATGGGTTAGTAGAATAAGGCTATGGGTTAGTTTAAAATAAAAGAATAAAGATAAATTAAAAAACAACGTGCACCAGCGAACAGGAAGTGACGTGTGCAGAATGAAAGTGACCGGTGGAATGTCAGGTCAGTTAGCTGCTTCAGAGACCTGGAAGCGAACAAGTCTTGCAGGGACGGCAGATTGCAGCCGATCACCCTCTCTGCAAAGCGGAGGACACGCTGCCTGCCCTTGTCCTTGGCTGTGGCTGCAGCGTACCAGACGGTGATGGAGGAGCAGAGGATGGACTCCATGATGGCCGTGTAGAAGTGCTCCATCATCGTCTTTGGCAGGTTGAATTTCTTCAGCTGCCTCAGGAAGAACAACCTCTGCTGAGCCTTCTTGCTGATGGAGCTGATGTTCAGCTCCCACTTGAGGTCCTGGGGTGATGATGGAGCCCCAGGAAACGGAAGGCAGAGTTTGTCCTGCAGCACAGACTGGATGATGGTGTTTGAAAGCAGAGCTGAAGTCCCACAAACAGGATCCTTGCGTAGGTCCCTGGGGAGTCCCAGATGCTGGATGGATGTAGTGGAGGGGCCATGTTTGACAGCCATCGTCCACAGACCTGTTGGGCTCTGTAGGCGAACCTGGCAGGGGGTCCAGGAGGGGGGACAGGACTAGCCGTTCAAAGGACTTCATGACAACAGAGGTCAGGGCGAAAGGCTTGTAGTCATTTAGTCCTGTGATCCTGGCTTCTTGGGAACAAGGATGATGGTGGAGGCCTTGAAGCAAGCTGGTACGTGGCATATCTCCAAGGAGGTGTTGAAGATGTCAGTGAACACCAGAGACAGCTGGTCAGCACAATGCTTCAGGGTGTGAGGGGAGACTGAGTCCAGGCCGGCTGCCTTACGGGGGTTTTGTCTAATAAAGAGCCGGTTAACGTCTCTCTCCAGAATAGAGAGCTGCTTGTCGTTGCTGGTGGGGGAGGGGAAGGTGACGCAGAGGTGTGAGCACCTGATGGGCTGGGGGTGGGAGACTGTGGCAGGTTGGTGGATCTGTGGGGGATGGGATCAGGACATTGTCTATCGAATCTGCAGTACAACTCATTCAGCTCGTCTGCCAGGCGGAGGACATTCATGGGGTGGGGTTTTTTTGGCTTGTGGTGTTTGAGGCCTCTCCACACCGAAGCAGAGTCACTTGCTGAGAACTGTTGTTGGTGTTTCTCAGAGTACAGTCGTTTAGCATCTTTTACCGCCTTGCTAAACTTGTATTTTGACTCTGTGTACAAGTCTTTGTCCCCGCTCCTAAATACCTGATCCTTCTGCAGGCGTAGTGTTCTGAGTTCTGCTGTGAAGCAGGGTTTGTCGTTGTTGTAACTCACCCTGGTGCATGATGGTACACAGCTGTCCTCACAGAAGCCGATGTAGGAAGTTACAGCCTCTGTGAACTCATCCAGACTGTAAGTAGCAGTCCTGAAAACATCCCAGTCTGTGCAGTCAAAGCACGCCCGAAGATCCTCCAGCGCCTCACTGGTCCACTTCTTGGATTCCCTCACCACAGGTTTGCAGAGCTTTAGTTTCTGCCTGTATGCAGGAATCAGATGGACCATGACGTGGTCAGAGTGTCCCAGTGCAGCACGAGGGACGGCGTGATAAGCCCTGCTTACTGTGGTGTAAAAGTGATCCAGCGTGTTCTCCTCTCTGGTGGGGCATTTAATAAACTGTCTGTACTTAGGAAGTTCATGGGTGAGATTTCCTTTGTTAAAGTCCCCCTTTGACTATAATGTCCAGTAATTCCACGGAAGATAAAAGGAAGTAAATCCGCTCGAGTTGTTCCTCGGATGTTCAAGAGCTCATCTCTAGTGAAAGAGCTCCGGGAATCACAAGGGGAAACATAATTAACAACAAAAACAACCAAAAACCAAGCGCACCGAAGCACTGTGGCAGCCATCGTCGGCGCCATCTTGGATTACAAGACATTGTGTTGGTAGTGATACACTCTTAAAGATTTCACCGTAAATGAACTGTATTTTACTGGCAGCAAGGACGCCAGGAATTTCCCGTTATTTCCTCTATAATACCGTCAATGGTTTTTGCACTGTTACCGTAAAATGGATTACTGTATGTTACCGTAAACTTGAACAAATTTTACTGTGAATTAACTGCAATTTACTGGTAGTCGACGCTAGTAACTTACTGTTTTATTTACAGTGCCCTACCGTAATATATGGTATGTTGTTGTATATTGAATTACAGTTTGTTACCATACAATTACTTTTTTTGTGTTATAAATGCCAGAATGTTACTGTTTACTTATAACCGTATACTTTTGCATTTAATTCCCCACAAATTAAAGAAAAACAACCAAACTCATTTTGGTCATAGTGGTTGGAGTTTATTAGATGCCTTTAAGAAAAAAATGTTAGGCATTTATAACCAAGAACAAAACATAAAATATGCTGCATGTATACAATAATAAAAAAATCATAAAATCATTAGGAACAAGGTAAACTAACAACAATACGCTATGGAACACTTTCAATTGACTGCAGCAAACCGCTGGCGTCCTTAATCCAGTGCCTCTGTAAAACAAACCAAAAGAAAATATTTAGAAACACTGTCATTGGTAAAATATTAAAATTACAAAGTTGAGGAAGACAAGATGTAAGGAAGGAGAATGTTAATCGTGCTAGACAAATAACACTTACCAACGTTACTTGGAGAGACGAGGCAATGAGAAACTCCTCCCATGTTGAACTGACAGGTGTTCTGAATGAGATTACGCGTCTGACGTCACGTTCAGGAGCAGTCGGTCACGATTAACACTCAAATGACTTTTAGGCAATGAACACTTTGAATGATACAAATATTTATAATCTTTACATTCCGGCCACTGAAATGACAGCGAAGGCGGCGCATGGGATTGGGAGGGTGTGCTGTGCAGCACAAGGCTGCTCCCTGTGCCAAATTGAAGTGTTCCTGAGCAAGGCACCTAACCCCCAATTACTCCACATAAAATGATGTCAAACCATGGGCATTTTGGATAAAAGTGACAGCTGCATGTATAGTAATGTCCTGTAAGTCAAAGTCATCATCGTATCTCATGAGATACTGTCTCATTATGATGATATACAGGACCTGTTTGTCAGTGGCTGACATGGGCTCCATACATTAACCTACAACAGATGTAGATGGATTGTGATTCACTGCACTTGTATGTGTATTTCCAACACTTAATAAAATATATGTAACATGCAGTTGGATTACGGTAATCTGCTATTATTGTAAATTGACAGCTTTAACTGTTTATTCATGACATTGGCCGTTAATTTACAAGCAAGGGATGGAAATTTAACTATGTTACAGGTATTATGACATTTTACATTAATTCCGTTTCACCTGTAAGATGTTACATTTACAGTACCTATACTGAATCAGCAGTTTGCTGTATTACAATTATGATCTACTTTACTGTAATTCCGTTTCACCTGTAAGATACTGTCAAATGTACAAATGCTTCTATTGAATTTCTCTGTGACAGAGAAATTAAGTATGTTATTGTAATAGAAATGTACAGTAAAATGGTGTAATTATAAAAAGGTACAACACATTACACCCTCAGAAAGGATATGTTAAAATCATACACACATGTTGTGTTGAATTATCCATTGTTTGTGTTAAAATTATACAAATTATACAAATATTTCACAGGAGTCACTAGCACATAATGTGTTAGTTATGACACTGCATACATAATATGAATAATCTTTACATTTATGTTATGTTCTAATATGTATGATTATGTTATGTTCTAAAATGGGTTCAAGATTTCCCTTTACAAATATACATCAAGAAATGCTGCATGTTGAAATCCCCCCTCTGTACAGAGATGCAGTTAAGACACTGCATATTTATTAATAATTATAACCATGGCTTTTCATACGAAAATGATATTAAACAGAACAATATTCATAACAATGCAGAGTCATGACTACATCTCTGACGTTTATAACAAACCAACCCGTTTAAAAAGCTGTTGACAATTATGAGCAATAAATGAGCAATTATTACTATTTAAAGTACATGTACCACCAACAACACAACGTTATGGATGAGCGAGCTGCCTGTACCAAGATGGCCGCCCTGTGAGGACGTTCTACACTCGGCTACAGTTAATATCTACGGCTCCATCAGTCACACCAGAGGAGATGTTTTAATCAAAAAGCGCCCCCGTGTGGCCAAATGTCCGAGTACAGAAATACAAGAGAGCCCTGTATTCACTATTATTACTATCTATAGTACTGTGGGGAGACATAATAATAATACAATAGAGTATAATACATATACTATGTTCTGTATGTGTGGATGCTTTGAGACAAGGGTGTGTGTCTTTATTTCATAAGGGACCTGCCCCCCCCCGGCTGATGGACCGGGCCTGATCCAGACCTGCTCGCTGCCTCACTGCGGCGGGCCGGCGAGGACCTGAATGCCGATGACCGCGGAGCGACAAAGGACGCGGGGGAACCGGGACGGGATGAACCGCTTCCCGAGAGACGCGGAGAGCGGAGCGCTGCGACCGGACCGCAGGGAGCTGTCAACCAATTAAAACTCCTCTCTGCCTCTTAAACTCATCGTCCTCCTCCTACTCCTCCTCCAGGCGCCGGGGCCCTGCCCTCCTTCTAGAGTCCGGGGACCCCATCGGCGGGCCGGAACCGAGGAGATCCGCGCTGAAACGCAGCCGAGCCGCTCGGGAGGGACGAGCGGAGCCGGAGGAGGAGGTGAGGAGGAGGAGGAGGAGGAGGCGGCGAGCGGCGCGTCGGTGAGCAGCATCAGCAGCAGGGTCGGTGGGCACAAGGACGCAGCGTCGGGTGGAGACGGTGCGGAGATGCTTTCAGCGGCCAGCGAGGACGCGGAGGGCGGCTTCATCACCAACAACAACAACAACAACAACAACAACAGCAGCAGCAGCATCAACGACGACGTGGCCGCGGCCTCTGCAGCGACGTGCGCCAAAGGCACAGAGGAGCGGAAGGCGAAGAACCTGATCCGGGGCTGGAAGCGGGACCGGGACCGGGACCGGGACCGGGACGCCTGCGCCGCACCTCCTCCCGCCCGGACGAGGAAAGAGAAGTCCGGCGATGGCTCGTCTCCTCCTCCTCCCCCTCCTCCTCCCCCTCCTCCTCCTCCCCCTCCCCATCCCCATCCCTCCTCCGCCTTCCTCCCGTCGTGCGCCCTGCCCGAGCATCCTCTCTGCTTTACCGGCGCCGGAGTCTGCCGCTGCGCCGCGCCGGAGCCCCGCACCCCGGGAGAAAACGGCGGCATCATCAGCAGCGGAGGAGGAGGCGGCGGCGGCGGCGCGCTGGATTGTGGAGCTAAAAGCGGCGGCGGCGGCGGCGCGATCGTTGTCGGGCGGCAGCATGACGACACGCCGGCGGCCAAGAAGCACCGAGGGGCCGAGAAGGTGAGAAGATGAATGTTGCTATTAGGAACTATAAAGGAGGAAAAGCCCATGTTGTCTTTACACGAAGCGCACGCGCACGCACGCGCACGTCTACACGACACGCGGGTGTTGGTTTAAATGCATCTCTGCGGTGCGATGCAGGTGGAGGCCACAAAGGAGCGCGCGGACTCACAGCGGGGGGGCGCTTCATATTTAACATGCTGATGGACTGACGTTTCTGTGCGTTTCTTTTGGAGGGACGGAGGAGGATGGGAAGAGGGGGGGGGGGGGGGCACAGCTTCTTCTCCTCTTCTTCTTCAATCCTCCTCTTCCTTTTGCTGGAGATTAAAGCCCCATTGTTCGCATCGCGCGCGCTTTTTTGTTTTTCTTTTTTTCTATGTCGTTTTTCCGGAGAGGGGGGGGGGTCCCTAATCGGGGGGTAGACAATAATTTCTGCGTGTGGACAGCCCCCACAGATGTATTTTGTTTCTCTGGTTTGTGAAGAATTAAAGAAGAGAGGCGCCCTCTGTAAAATCATTCTATTGGGGGGGGGGGGGGGGGTCTTAAATAAGTCGTCCTCATCCGGAGAGACAAAGATGGAGGGAGTAGAAGGAGGAATCGGACGTGACAGCAGAGGACGATAAAAAAAGAAAACCAATGGAGGATGTCCGAGTAATTTCATGTGTCCCCCCCCCCTCCTCCCTGCTGCTGACAAGAGGACCGCCGGCCCGTCGCCCCCTTTGTTTATTTGTCGATCTGAAGGCTTCCCGTTGGGCTGAGACACACACACACACACACACACACACACACACACACACACACACACACACACACTGCCAGCAGTCATCTGGGCTGCACTGAAGCTTTGTTTCCTGTGATGGAGGCGAAGCTTCACCATCATTGACTCAATTCTGGGTCTAATTTCCACCGTAGCGACGGTTAGCTTATCGATGCTAACTAATCCTGGCTTTGTTAAGCCCGACGCTGAAGGTCGAGAATTCCACCTTTCGTAGGAACAAAAACTACGAAGTTCACACATCAGATTGGTTGTTGTCTTCTTTGTCTCTGATCGTCCATCTTTTGTTAATGAAACAGAAATTCACGTCAGAAACCACATTGTGTTCAATGTCCAGAAGATTCTCCAGTTTTTAACTTCGAGACTCATTAAATCAGGAGTGTGATTAGAGGGTAGGAAGTATGAGATGTGGTCATAGCGCCCTCGAACCTCTCGAAGGAGGAAGCGGATGAATAAAGCCTCAGCGTGAAGCTCCACCTCTTCAATAACCCGTTTAATCAACACTTCAATTTCACTTTCACTTGGCATGAACGTTACACCAAGCTTATAAATAACGTTTAATTAAAGACACGCGTTCACGACACGCGTTCTTTTGTGCGCACACGATGGAATAGAGCTTTATCTCAATGATTAAATCTGCATGTTTGTTCCAGCTTTAAGTCTACTTTCCGTGCACAGTTACAGTGATTGTGTGTGGGGTGACTTATGCTCTATACTGTCCCTGAAGGCATCATCGTATGCGGGTTTTCAGCCTTAGCTTAGCATGTCCACGTGCTACGCTAGCTCCAGCCCGGTATCATGGAAGCCACTAAATACAGCTTATTGGTTTTGTGTTCCATCGATCTGATAACACCCGTATTTGTTCGTGGACACGTGTTAAACATCATCTGGTGACATAGATGAAAAAGATTTGGACTTTCAGCCGTTAGCGGTGCTGTTAACGTTAGTAGCGCTCCTTCTGCTGATCTAAACGCTGATTGGTTGTTTACGATGTCACATGATCAGAGATCAGAGACTCGAAAATATCGATGATGTCGTCATCATCATTTATTTACACTGATGGTTCAGCCATCAAATCATCTTCGTCATCAAGAGACAAAGCTCACTGAATAATCTCCAAATATGACGTTATTGAGAGAACGTAAGAGCGTCACATGTCATGTTCCGACTTGTCATGAAAAACAAGGAGGATTGAAACACTTTGAATCACTACATCTGAGCCGGAGTATCGGCGCAAAGCAGAAGAAAGACAGAAAGTTCACGTGTGGAGCTAAGGTGGGGATCTCCGAGCTCCCTGCTGAGGGTGGGATTTCCCCTGCTACCCTGCTAAGGTTGGGATCTCTCTGCTAAGGGTCGGGATCTACCCTGCTACCTGGCTAAGGGTGGGATCTACCTGCTACCCTGCTAAGGGTGGGATCTCCCTGCTAAGGTGGGATCTACCCTGCTACCCTGCTAAAGGTGGGATCTACTGCTAAGGTGGGGATCTACCTGCTAACTGCTAAGGTGGGATCTCCCTGCTAAGGTGGGATCTACCTGCTAAGGTGGGATCTACCTGCTAAGGTGGAATCTACCTGCTACCTGCTAAGGTGGGATCTCCCTGCTAAGGTGGGATCTCCCTGCTAAGGTGGGATCTCCCTGCTAAGGTGGGATCTACCTGCTAAGGTGGGATCTACCTGCTACCTGCTAAGGTGGGATCTACCTGCTAAGGTGGGATCTCCCTGCTACCTGCTAAGGTGGGATCTCCCTGCTAAGGTGGGATCTCCCTGCTAAGGTGGGATCTCCCTGCTAAGGTGGGATCTACCTGCTAAGGTGGGATCTCCCTGCTACCTGCTAAGGTGGGATCTCCCTGCTAAGGTGGGATCTACCTGCTAAGGTGGGATCTACCTGCTAAGATGGGATCTCCCTGCTAAGGTGGGATCTCCCTGCTAAGGTGGGATCTCCCTGCTAAGGTGGGATCTACCTGCTACCTGCTAAGGTGGGATCTCCCTGCTTCTGGTTGTCCTGTAAAGCCTCTGAACACATCACAGCTCTTTGTGTTTATATATATATATATGTATGTATATATATATATATATGTGTGTATGTATGTATATACGTATATATGTATGCATGTATACATGTGTGTGTGTGTGTGTGTGTGTGTGTGTGTGTGTGTGTTCACTAACAAGTCTAAAACAAGACACCCGCTCAGCCTTTCAGCTGAATAGAATCATCAGTGTTTTAAAGGCTCATTCCGTGTTGAATGTGTGGTTCACAGTTCTGACAGCAGTGTGTTGCATTTGAACAAAGTGCTGTAAATCCACAGTGTTGTGCAGGTTGTGGAGACGTCATGTGATCAGTGTGGAGAGTTTTGAAAACTGTGTTCAAGCAATGAAAAGAATCTAGAGTTCGGTCCTCATGAACTGCTGCTGTGCAGACTGGAGAGTTTTGCACACGTGACTCCGGTTGTGTCCGCTGACGTTTAGCAACCGGAAAAAACTGTAAAAACTAACGTGAAAATATATGAATCTCCTCCTGTAGAACGGTCGGTCTCATCCTGCGTCCGTAGCCACAGAAATGAATGAGCTTTAGTTTGTAGATATTCTACACCGACTCCCCTGGATCCTTTTCATATCTCATCTACCTGAAGCTCTCCTGACATCCGCTTCCTCCTCCCCGACCTCCCCGGCCTCCCCGACCTCCCCTCCCCCGGTCCTCAAATCAGACGGAGGATTCTGCGTCTTGGAGGAAGATAAACGAGACGATTGAGTGCCTTAAAAGCCTTATTTGGCCGAGCGTGTCTGTTCTTTACGATAGTAGAGTTTAAATAGTAGGTTCAAATAACTCAAGGTGTGTGTGTGTGTGTGTGCGTGTGTCTGTGTGCGTGTGTTTGTGCACGATGCTGCTGCAGAGAGAAAAATAGACAAAATGGACAAAAAAAGATGGCCACCATTCGCAAAAGACGACAAATACACACAAAACGCTTCGTCTTCTTTTCCTCTGCCTGACAATAAAGACGGGATGATTTCTGTCTGGGAAAAGAAAACTGTTGTTGTGGTCGCTGCTCACTGGAGGATTTAATGGGGGGGGGGGGGGGGGGGGGGGGAGGCAAGAAGAAAGGGAAGGAAGAGGAAAATAAGGAGCAGGGAAGAGGGGAGGAAGAACGATATTATGACAATGAGAAATATAATACAAATTGACAAATAAAGAGAGGACGGGTTGGAAGGAAAGGAAAGGGGGAGGAGATAAAAGGGAGGAAGGTGTGAGGACAAGAAGAGCATGAAAAGCAAAGACAGGAAATAGGAAGGAAAGCGTTGATAAACGATAAGAAGGATGGAGGATGAGAAGACAGAAGGATGTACATCTTTCCTTAGAAGACAAACAAAGGATTTACTGCAGCTTACATTCGTCTTTTAGCCTAAAAACTAAAGATGCCTCTTGGTTAATTTTAGGTTCTATGATCCCATTTAACAGATTTCACCCTCCTAAAGCCGCCGGGAGAAGGAACACTAATGGAAAAAATGAGACTGATGAAAAGCTTCATTTGTGAAGACGGAACTTCATCTAATCACAAAAAAAATACAATTTCACTTTGAGACGTTGAACCTTTCTTTCATTAATATTCATATATTCTGGCTGCATGTTTAGCTAGCATTGTGCTAGCTATGTGCTAGCTAGCTGGGGGCCTACTTTATGTTATCAAACTGGTTCTAAGGATTGAGATTCTGAACGTGACTGAAGACAAGTCTCTTTAACATTTAACTCAGTGGAACTGGAATAGAATAAATACACAAGTTTACGGCAGTTCACAGACACTTTCTTGTCCTTTGAAGGCGAGTTCCCAGCTGATTGGTCCCCGCTGAATACGTTCTAATGTCCAGGCCGTGACCTTGGAAGTCACCTCTGAGCCTCCGTGGGAGAGAAGACAAAGAACAGATCAGTCGCCTCTTGTCAGATGTGAGATAATAAAATAATAATAATAAAAACTCAAATTTACAGACTTTTGTTTCATCAGGAAACTCACTGGAGAATATTGTGCGGCGAGATATCTGTCAGCTCTGTAATCTTTATTGAGTCATAACGACGAGAAAAATCCTTCTGCCGCTGCTCTCTCAGCAGAATCATTTCCCAGAGCGCTTGTAATTGGCGCCGATAAGAGCGTGGCAACTTAAGTGTTAAGATGAAAAGTAAAAAAGTAACCGGCTCGGGTTGTGTTTATGAGGGGGGGGCCACATGGGTCCAGCTTGATTACTTCCAGGCTTATTGGAACGACTTGAAACTAGAGACTGAGACCATAAACTCATGTTTACAATGCTCACCCCTGCTGGTCACTACAGAGAAGTAGAGTCATTTCCTCATAGACGTCTATGGGAGCAGAGGAGTCGCCCCCTGCTGGTCACTACAGAGTAGAGTCATTTCCTCATAGACGTCTATGGGAGCAGAGGAGTCGCCCCCTGCTGGTCACTACAGAGAAGTAGAGTCATTTCCTCATAGACGTCTATGGGAGCAGAGGAGTCGCCCCCTGCTGGTCACTACAGAGAAGTAGAGTCATTTCCTCATAGACGTCTATGGGAGCAGAGGAGTCGCCCCCTGCTGGTCACTACAGAGAAGTAGAGTCATTTCCTCATAGACGTCTATGGGAGCAGAGGAGTCGCCCCCTGCTGGTCACTACAGAGAAGTAGAGTCATTTCCTCATAGACGTCTATGGGAGCAGAGGAGTCGCCCCCTGCTGGTCACTACAGAGAATGCAGCTTTAACACGCTCTGGATTTAATTTTAAGAACCGGATGTTACCGCCTGGTTTCCCTTCAAAAAGTCCACCAACCCGAGTAAATCTCAGCTCGTTACATCAGACAGTCTTTTCAGGAATCAGGAAACATTTATTTGCCAAAATATGCCAAACATACAAGGAATTTGTATTGAATTTTAAAAATATAACAGAGCTTTATCCTCACAGGAACCAGAATGATCCCATTCAAAGTGTCGTATTCGTCATATAGAATGAAGTTAGGTGATAAAATATTGTTGTTGTAATTAACATCACGTTATTTTGTTATAATACTGCCTCCAGTTCTAACACTGGTGCTCACGTACCGTGCTGTGAATGGATGGGGTCCAGCTTACATCCAGGACCTGGTCCAACCCGACATCCCGACCCGCACTCTCCGCTCTGCATGTGATAAACTGCTTGTTCCTCCTCACTGAGAGCAAAACACTCGACTAGATCTCCACTCTTTGCTGTCCTGCTCCTAAATGGTGGAAGGAGGTCTATGAAGACATCAGGACCACAGAGAGCCTTCACATCTTCAGACTAAAGACACACCTCTTCAGACTCTACCTCCACTAACACACTAACTAACTGGAGCACTTACATTGGACTTATAATGGCTCTATATCAGGTTGTAAATCAGCTGTTTATTAAAATTGCACTTTGTTGTTTCTTGTTCTTCTGAGTTTCCCTATGGTTGAAATGCACTTATGTAATATAATCTCTTTGTCTTTGCAATAGTTTCTTTGGTTCCTTATTTTTGTTTTATACATGAAACATGACGGTCTTACATATTTCTATTTAAGCACAAAGTTGGGCGTCACATCATCGTACTAAAGGGATGAAACGTGAAAGCTGATTAATAGAACTGAATTAAAATGACAAACTGAAACGTGGGTCGACGTGGTGCAGGGGTAGAGAGGGTGCGCTGGGAACCGCAAGGTTGGAGGTTCGAGCCCCGGCTGCTCCATGTCCCATGTCGATGTGTCCCTGAGCAAGATAACCCCTAATTACTCCCCGGGCAATAATGTAATAAAAAAAAAGTAATGTAAGTGGCTTTGGATAAAAGCGTCAGCTAAATGTAATGTAAAGGTTGGTTGACTATTCTATTATTTTTTTATCCCTTCAGGGGGACCCCATGTTTACGGTTCCAGCCGCCCCCGCTCCAGGCCCCCCAGGGGCCCCCGGGCCCTCCCTGCCCTTGGCCCCTCCTTTCCCCCCTCCGGCCCTGCCCACCTCCAGCCCCAAGCAGCTACTGGTGAGGACGAGATCCGTGGGCACCAACACCCAGGACGGGGAGAGCGTCCCGGGGGGGGCGGAGGGCGACTTGGCCTGTCTGGGACCCTGCCAGCCCGGGACCAGCGTCAACCTGGAGGGCATCGTCTGGCACGAGACCGAGGAGGGTAAGAGGGACGGGTCACCCGAACCAATAGAATCTAGAGAACCACTAAAGAACCCGCAGAACCAGTGGAATATAGAGAACTAACAGAATTGTGTATTTATTCATAAATACTTTGTTTGAATCTTTGGGGAAAGCTAATGCTAAAATATTTGTTTAATTATTAGCTGTACATTTGTAGACAGGGCCTGAGGTGCAAGTGGTGCTAATGCTCAAGTTAGCTGTTGTGCCCATAGGTGTATATGAGAAGGGTGTGTAGTCATGGTAACGTCACCCATTGGCCCATATTTTGAAGCATCACGGTCAACAATGTTGTGAACAGGAAGTGACCACATATGGACAGATCTACGTGTCCGGCAGAAAACTGTCAATCACAGTAAAACCCGCCCTAGAACATCCCCTGCCCTATGGGCTGCTTGACTCTAAATGGAACATGATTTTCATGCTGTATTGGAGAACTCTCCTATCTCCACCGTAACAACCTCCTTAACCCCCACCAGTCAGGCTTCAAGGCCGTTCCACAGAGACTGCTCTCCTCGCTGTCTCAGAGCATCTCCACACTGCTAGAGCTCCTCTCTCGCCTCTGTCCTCGTCCTTCTGGAGCTCTCTGCTGCATTTGACACAGTCAACCACCAGATCCTTATTGTCTGCGTCAGAACCTTGTCCTCTTACTACTGGAGTTCCTCAGGGTTCCGTCCTGGGTCCCCTCCTCTTCTCGCTCTACACCAACTCTCTCTGCGCTGTCATTCGCTCGCATGGCTTCTCCTACCACAGCGATGCTGATGACACCCAACTAGTTCTCTCCTTCCCTCACTCGGATCTCTGCCTGTCTGACTGACATCTCTCAGTGGATCCGCCCACCATCTGAAAATCAACCCCGACAAGACGGAACTACTTCTCTTTTTGGGACAAGATTCTCCTTCACAGGACCTGACTGTTAACTTTGAGACTCTGTGTTAACGTCCACTCTGACTGCAGGAACCTCGGCGTGACGTCGACAGCCGACTCTCCCTGACTCCAACATCACTGACAACACCATCCTGTAGATACTCGCTCTACAACATCAGGAGAACACGTCCTCTTCTCACTCAGAAGGAGGTACTGATTCAGGCTCTTGTCGTCTCCCTCCTGGACTACTGTAACTCTCTCCTGCAGGTCTCCTGCTACCACCATTCCACCTCTGCAGCTCATCCAGAATGCAGCAGCTCCACTGGTCTTCAACCTTCCTAAGTTCTCCCTCACTCCTCCACTCCTCCGCTCTCTTCACTGGTACCGGTGGCTAATCCAGTTCTAAACATGGTGCTCACGTACCATGCTGTGAATGGATGTGATGGGGGAAGGTGGGGCTCTGTTCCTCCTGAAATCCACAACCATCTCCGCTGTGGTTGTTCTGGCTGCACCACGACACCAGATGGTCAGACTCCCACCTGTAGGCGGACTCGTCCCCACCAGAGATCAGTCCAATGAGGGTGGTGTCATCCGCAAACTTCAGGAGCTTGACGGACTGGTGGCTGGAGGTGCAGCTGTTGGTGTACAGGGAGAAGAGCAGAGGGGAAAGAACGCAGCCTTGGGGGGAACCGGTGCTGATGGTCCGAGAGGCTGAGACATGTTTCCCAGCTTCACGTGCTGCTTCCTGTCAGACAGGGAGTCTGTGATCCACTTGCAGGTGGAGTCGGGCGGTGCAGCTGGGAGAATTTGTCCTGGTTCTCACACCACACGGCCCCCAACTGCACACATATTTATGGGTTTAAACGGCGTGGCCCAACACAGTCAATGTAACAGGGAGAAAGATGGAGGGGGCAGGAGGAGGATGGCAAGAGTGAAGAAAATGGATTCATTCTGACGGATGGAGCAGGAGGAGGAGAGAGAGAGAGAGAGAGGTGTCTCTAAAGCACCCGGGGGGGGGGGGCGCTGTATGTAAGGACGGAGAAGGATGGACGGCGTCACAGAGAGAAAGGAGAAAAAAACGACCAAGACAAAGAGAGACGCGAGAGGGTGTTTTTATACATTTTTTAGATCCTTCAGCTCGGAGGGACGACGTCAGGGAGGTGGAGGGAGAACCGGAGAGCCCCCCCCCCCAAACAAACCCTCCCCCGTGACGTCGGAGCTACACTGAGCGAGGATGCCGGTTGCATTTTAATTAAGCAGAATGCGTTTTAGTGAGACAGAAAGCAGGAGAAAAAAAGAAGACAAGACCCTCATCCCCACACACACACACACACACACACACACACGCACACGCACACACACCTCCCCACTGCAGGAGACCAGAGTCTGATGAGCTGTAATCAGACCTGATTGGCTCGACTTTATGGGCAGAGATGAAGTCAATTACAAGTGTTGTAAATAACGAAACACACACACACACGTTCAATAATCACGACAACGCCGTGAAGTGGCGGGTCGGCCCTTAAAGGGGACAGCGCGCCGTTTCTCCCTCATCACAAGTGGCCTCCGTGAAGCTTTTTTCCGCCATGATGGCTTAGAAAGAGAAGAGGAACGGCGGCGTCGACGCCTGCAGCCTGGGAACATTTCCTCACCAAAGATCAGCAGATTTGCTCTGGAGGAAAGCGGACACGTAATGATACTAACTAATAATAATCACCCAATGCCAGTTCTCTATCGGCATCAGAGACGTCCCGCTCATCAACACAAATATTCACAGGTTTTACTTCAAATCTTCCTCCAGACCTTCCTCGGACGTCTTTAGGAGACTCCAGCAGGCGTCCAGGACTTGATTCGCTGCGTCCGCCTCTGGTGCATCAACGAGAGAACAAAGGTTAATGGTTTTCAAATGTCAGTCAGAGAGACATTTATATTTCAAACGGCTGAGCGGCCCCTCAGTTCTCGGATTAAAGACTGAAATGTGTCTTCAAAGCAGAGACAAAACTCTCTGTTTTCCTTCTGTGATGTTTGCTGACCGGTTTCAGGTTCCAGAGATTAAACAGGAGAAAGAGTTCGCGCCCCTTGAAGCCGTAGACTTAACGTACGTCTTCCTCCCAAACGGCAGAACAGAACACACCTGAATCTCAAAGAAACAAACATTTTCCCTCCAAAGGAGGGTAAATTCCCACCATGGAGCATAAGCTGTGACGTTGTCATGGTTCTGTCGTAAGGCGCTATCCCATTTGTAATTCCACTGTTTTGAGCCCTATTGAGGCCTCTTACACGCCCCATTTAGCCCCGAGGGTTCAGGCTCCGGTTTACTCTTCATGCTTTAGGTTTTAGGCTTCAGTCCTGAACCTGTCTCACTCTCTGACCTTTAAGAAACAAGAACCTCGATACCGGTCCAGAAGCCTGTCGTGGTCCCAGTAGATCAGGTTCGTAACCCCATAACCGTCTCTGCCCGTGTGACCCCGACAGGTGTGCTGGTGGTCAACGTGACCTGGCGGAAGAGAACCTACGTGGGAACCTTGTTGGACTGCACCAAACACGACTGGGCTCCCCCAAGGTGAGACTCTGGCTTTGGTCGACGGGAGTTCTTTTTGTTGGATGAGTTCAAACGAGTCGACCTGGAACTGGATCTCTTAGATTGGAAGAACCTGCGTTTTATGAGAAACGCCGTCTTTTCAATCTGCTTTGTCTTATTCGTATTCTCTTTGTCTGTGTGTCTTTATTCTAGTGACTTTTCCGCATTTTATTGTGTAATTTTCAGTATTGCACAATTGCCGTTTTGTGGAGCACTGTGGGTTAAATGTTTGACAGAAAGCTGCCACTCAAATGAATGAGTTCAGTTTTGTGGTCTGCGACCAAAGCACCAACATGGGTGGTTTTATTGTGTATTGTTTTTTTAGGTTAGTGGAGGATCGTGGTCCTGGTAGAACATTATTTTGCAAAGCGCTGCTTCCTGTTTGTCAGCTACAGTTCAATTTATCCTTATATTATGTTTAGTTGACGTTGAGAACGCAGCTCTCGGCTTTGTCCAGGGCCTTGTTCCTCGCACGTGGTTCAACTGAGTCCATCAAATGTCCGATTGTCCAGCTCAGATTACCGAGATGATTGACATCAGGCTATCTCGGTTCCTCGAAGGCGAATCGGCGCTCAAACGTCTCGTTAGTTTGAACCAGATGTCAATCATCAGGATAATCGCCTCACGTCAGAAGGCGGAAGAGTCGATCACAGAAACCAGGATTTTTTAACAGTATAACGGCAAATAAACTTACAGGAGATGATCATGAACATATGATGAGATAATATGTTCATTTGAATCATTTCTGTCGGATGAATTGAACGTATTGTACATATGTCACGTTGTTCATTCTGTACGTCCATCGCAGTCTCTCCGTCCCAGGGAGGATCGTCCTGTGTCTCTATAAAGGTTTATTCCCTTTATTCTCCCCATCAAATACTTTTTCATTGTCTGGGGAGTTTTTCCTGCCGATGTGTTTCGATGTGTACAGACTGTAAAGACACAGGCGTCTCATGAGACATTCAGTGCGACGCGACCAAGGACAAGAGACACGCAGGGCTTAAATACACTGGCAAGGTGCAGGTGATTGGACACAGGTGGAAACAATCAGACACGGCAGACAATCACAGGACGAGGCAGGAAGTGAAGTTACCCAGGGACACGAGAGGCAGGAAACTACAAAATAAAACAGGAAACAAATTCAAAACATGACAGATATATGTGTATCATATGCATGTAAATGACCATATAGAACTAGCAGTTTAATCATATGTGTGTGAGTGTGTATGTGAGAATCATTATATATCCATCGTTCATAATCAGACATTTGATCAATTGAAGCAGTGAAACGTGGAACATCCAGAAGTTTATTATTAGCGACAAATAAACCAACAGAACTTTACCAATATGTGGTGATTTAGACAAACCTGCTTCTGGGAACCGAAAAGCCTGAACTACATCATCTCACCCTGAAACCTATCCGGCTAACTCAGTTAGCCACGCACGAGGAACAGGGCCCAGGTTATTCTACTGAATGTATTGTTATTCTGTAGTCTAGTTGTAGACGTATTTTATGGTCATTCACGTTGAACGATGTTCTAGTTATTGTTATTATCTTTTATCTGCAGGTGATTATTTATTTGATGAACCAAAAATAGAGAACTTTTCCAAAGCTGTGATGCTGCTAAAATGATTTGAATCTATTTACATTTGTATCTATATTCAGAAGCAGTGTGGCGCTTTCTCCTCGCTGCCACCGCTCAATTATTGCTCCTGTTCCTAAATGATTGTTGTCATGGCAATTACAGCTTCATCTCAGAAACCAGGGACTGAATTTCCCTTCATTTGCTTTCTGCCGCTGCTCTCTTTCATCGGCGGCGACTTGATGCTGTTTTTATTGTACGAGTCAGTGGAAAGAAACGCCCTCGTTAATTATTTATCAGTCCACGAATGAAACTCCAAGCAAAATTACTAAATTCAAGCACAAAATACAACTAAACAGACAAAGAAAACAGTTGTTTTTTAAAGCAAGTAATAAACGTCCGTAGACAAAGTTAAAGTTAATACTTGAACCTTTACTTTAGTGTCGATTGGGTCGCCCCCTGTGGACTAAAGGCCTCTCTCTGAGCACCAGGGTCCCTTTAGAAAACCTCTCATTTTATCAAGTTAAGACTGGTTCGTATGGAGGAACAGATGAAAAGTCCTCACCATAACTTTTTTAATTGTATGAAATCATCTGAAGTAGATGTTTGTTTAAAATGTAAAACCGAGGCATGACAGCCACAAATAACCCTGAAAAGGCCCAAAACAAACCCATGAATAATTCAGCGTGGTGTTTCCAGCAGCTTCAGGGACATTCATTAAAAACATCATATGAAATGTGAGATATCATCATTTAGAAATCACAGGGGGTGACTAGAAACTCTGGTCCTAGCATGCTTTGCGGTTCCAATAAAGGAAGATGATTAAAACCCCCAAAACATCTTTCCAAGGTCAGAACACATTCACTGAGTCCCATGTAGGGTCCTAATGACGGCACCGTAAGGCCAGCACAAGTGCAAAGGTCAAGGTCCAAGAGCTTTGCCATGTAGATAAACATAATAATAACGATATACTGAATAATGTGAGGCGCTCTGGCAAACAGCATCAAAAGGCTTCAGAGACGAAGGCACGTCATGTGAATACTAAATGTCTCGCCATGAAGCAGAGATGATCGTGGATTGTAGTGTTTTTCAAAGAAGAAGCAGGTGAAAAAATCAATTTCTATCCTTGACTTCTGGACCTCGAATGATAATGAACTATTTTCTACGTTTTAATTTGCTGAATTTGGGTTTAGGTATATGAGCAAGTTGTTTCTTGGGTTAAAGCAAAAACGTCTCTCTTTTCTCCCAATCTGATGTTCGGATGTTACGTGACAAACGTGATATGAAACAATACAGAGTACAATGGGGCGGCGGTGTGCTGGTCTGTGCTGTCGCCTCACAGCAAGAAGGTCCTGGGTTTGATTCCACCCAGTAGCCATTCTCTGTGGAGTCTGCATGTTCTCTTGTGTGTGTGTGTGTGTGTGTGTGTTCTCTCATGATGATACCACGATATGCGATATGATGTGATATGATAACATGATTCAATACATTGTGTCAACGATACAAAAAAAATATCAAAGAGATACAAGGTTACATACAACTTATTGTTACTTATTGTTATTGCTCATGTCTAAATGACATGTAATGTTACATGAAAAAATACAATATGCAATAATACCACACAGTACAATTTGAATCAGTTAGATCTATCTAGCGATACTACCTCTGTATCAATGCTATTATTATTTTTTCTTTTCTTGTGTCCAGGTTTTGCGAGTCTCCCTCCAGCGACCCCGAGTTGCCCGGTGGGCGTGGCCGGGGCAAACGGATGCGGATGGGCTTGTCCGAGCGACCCTGCGTTGATCCGGCCCCAGCAGCCAAGGTCAGAGGTCTGTCTCAGCACAGGAGCCGTGGAGGTGGCTTGGCCGGAACCGCCGCGCCCATCCACAGCAAGGGACGCAGAGGAAGCCTGAACCTCATCAACAGCAACTGCCGAGCCCCTCCTTCTTTCTTCACTGTCGAGGAGGTGAAATCCACCAATGGCGCCTCATCTCACTTGTCCGCGAAGCGGAAGAACAAGCCACCCGCTGACCTGGACCTCAGCCTGGTCACCTCTGACGACGTCAAAAACGGCAACGGGAAGAGGATCCGAGCCAAATCTCGCAGCGCCCCGTCAACGCCGCAGGGAAAATCCGACCCCTCGTTCATGGACCCTGGAGGCGGTTGCGCCTCCTCCCCTCCTCCCCCGCCCATCCTCATTGACTGCCCCCACCCTAACTGCACTAAACGTTACAAGCACATCAACGGCCTGCGCTACCACCAAACGCACGCACACCTGGAGGCCGAGGAGCAGAGGAAGCCGGAGTTGGAGCCCATGAAGGATGGGGAGGGCGAGGATCGGCTTTCAGACTGCGAGGACTCCATCAGCAGCATGACGTACGACCTCTCAGAGACGAACAGTTCCTCCAAGAAACCAGCTCCTCTGTACAAGGTGACCACAGTGGGATCTCCTAAGAACAGACGGCTGCTACTCAGCACCGACCACAGCGCCTCAGTCAACACCAAGACCAGAAGAACCTCACTGCTGAAAGACGGGCTGATCGACGACCTTAGCAACCTGCCCATCATCTCAAACATGACCGTGGTCCTGGAGAACTGCATGGTCCCAGACAGGAATTCCATAGTGGAAATGCCCAAGCTGGAGGCCGAAGGCTTGATCGACAAAAAGGGAGGCGGGTGCGACAAGGGCAAGAAGTCCAATGGGAAGGTGGAGAAGCTGTCCAAGTCACGGACCAACCGGCCGATTGCTCCGGCCCCTGCGCCCCCAAAGCTGATCGCCATACCCAACACGACGTATCCGACCGGCACAGCCGACACCACGACCTCACAGCAGAACTCACCTATAGCAGCCGTGGGCCTCACCGGTAAGAACCTTACCCTGAAACCCATCAAACCAAAGCAGAGCATGGTTGTGGAACCGAGCCTCGTGAAAGCCACCATGATCACCTGTAGCAAGGAGACCAGGAAGAAAGAGAAACGGAGGCTGAAGGACAAACACCACAAAACCAGGATGCCGAACAGCGATGGCGATGGAATCAAGATGGAAGATGGTTGTGGTTCCAAAATGGGTGTCAAGGAAATTTCCGGAAGTCTTCTGAAGGAGCACCTCAGCAAGCAGGATATGATGAACGGGCTCACGGAGAGTCAGGAGAGCAGGATGGCCAGTATCCGAGCCGAGGCCGACAAGGTGTATACCTTCACCGACAACGCCCCCAGCCCCTCTATCGGCAGTTCATCGAGGCTCGACCCCGGCGGTGGTTGCCTGGCAACGGACAGCAAGAACAACAGCCCCGCCTATTCAGACATCTCGGACGCTGGGGACGACGGGGGATCCTCCGAATGTCGCTCAGATGGAATCCGATCCAAGTCCGCCTCCTTGGCCTCGTCGGAGGCGAGCTCTAACAGTAGCCACAGCAACTCTGGTAAAACCCCACCCACTGCGTCTGCCCCGCCGCCAAAAGACTCCCAATCCCCGTACTACCACGGCTACGAGCCCTACTACCTGCAGGGGTACATGCAGTCAGACAGGCAGAACAGCAACAGCGTCGCCTTCCATAAAAGCTCCGGGCTCGACGGCAACGGCAGGAAGGAGGAAGCAAGAGAGGACGACAGAACGTCCCCCCGCGAGTTCTCAGACTTGAAGAAAAGCGACGGGCCGCCTCAGTCTCAGCTCCAGCTGGCCATGAGCCAGACCCAGACCGCCTTGGCCCAGTCGCTGTACTACGGCCAGTACTCCAGGGGCTTGTATATGGACCAGAAACTGTTGCTGGCCTCAAAGTGCTGCGACCAGACGCATGGCGCCAAGCAGAGGGGCGAGAGGGGACAGGGGCTGAGGGACGGTGAGGACGACAGACACGTAGTCGGGAATTCGGCAAGCGGACCCGTGCTGGGAAAGGGTCTGGATGGCGTCAAAGGCTGCTGTCCCAAACCGGCCCTGTCCTACGTGGAAATGAGCGAGAGGGGGGAAAGGGGACTGAGTCTAGGCAGGAAGTCGGCCCACTGTGGCGTGCTGGACCAGCACCAGGTCTCGATGAAAGACTGCGACGACATCAAGTCGCCTTCTTCTTCTTCGGCCCTCCACAACCCAAACAGTCAGACAGATCTGGACTCAAATGTTTCCTATTCCAGTGTAAGTCTCTCCCTCTGTCTCTAAGCCGCCGCTGATGGTGTTGTTGGTGTTCTGTGGCGACTGCTGTTGAGTGTCACAAAGAGATTAAAAACAGGTGCTTCCGTGGGCCTGCAGCCGTGCTTTGACCTGCTACCTTAATCGTGTCAGTTAAAATCAAAGTCTGGTTTGATTTTAATGTGTAGTATCAAGGGGTGGGGGAGCTGTACATGTAAAACAGTAACACATAAAAGAACAGAAGAAACATTTCTGACACATACTGCTTTTTTTCAGAAAGCTTGTAAAGATTTATAAAGAACCAACCGGCCGATTGCTTCGTCCCCCCGCAACCCCAAAGCTGATCGCCATACCCAATACGCCGTATCCGGCCTCTCGCGATGCATTCATCCACTAACTTTAACTGTGAGGTTGTTGTTTGTTTTGCTTCAGTTTGGCGTTGATCATATGTGCACTTTTTCTTGATTGGTATCATTGACGGGGGGGGGGGGGGCGCCAGGCTCCTCATATTCACCTTCTGATTGGCTGCCATGCTTTTATCAACATCCCGCCCAGAGCCAGGGTAGATGGTGTGTCCGGGTTCTGCTGCCTCCAGTACACAGTGTTTCCTCTATAGTCGTAGAGCAGCGGTGGGCCGCCATCGAAAGAAATTCTCTCCCCGTGTTTAACAGAAAATGTGCAAATGAGAGTCAGAAATTATCCTCCAAATAAACACAGAGTACTAACTTAGCTTTAGCTCTGCAACTGGCCAATGTAGAACCATAACTGGGACGGAGACCTGGACCGAAAAAGGTGAACCGACCCCCTAAAAAACATGTCCCACCCACCACTGCTCACAAAGACTTATAGGGGAAACACTGCGACTTGCACCAACACATGTCCCTGATCGATGTAGCCCCCAGACGGCCTGCCCTGGGCCCACTGCCTCGCTCACAGCAAGTACTCTGAGCTACGTCACGGGGAGGAGGCCGAGGAGGGGGAGATGGACAGGGGGAGAGAGTGGGGAGCTACCATGGAGCCTGCCGGGGCTAAGATGACTGGAGGAGGCGGTGGAGACGCTAAAAAAAACAGGCTCCACGAACTCCCGCCCGCCATCGACGTGGATGATCCGGACGGACTGGACGGGCTGGAGCATCAGGACCAGGAGCCGGTTGGGGCGCTGGACCAGGAGCCCCAGAACGCCCGGGCGGCGGTGTCTCCTCCTGTGACCCCCCAGCAGCCCTACGTCCAATACCAGCACTCGTCCTACCAGCCTTACCTGGCCATGTGCGAGAGCGGCGGGGGCTCCTACAGAGGGGTGTCACCCACCCTGGTCCACAATTACCCCGGTAAGAGTCCCCATAAAGGTTTAAATGGTTCAGCGCCACGCTCGTGTCTGTGTGGTAGACACGGAGCTAGCGCTACGTAAGGATTCAAACTGTTGTTGCCCGTCTGAGCGACGTGTGTTGATGTGTGAGCCTCAGATGGGTTTCATCGCCTCTGAACTAGCTTGTCATTTAATTCTTGGCAAGAAAGCAGACAAGCATGTTTACTTAAGCATCACTGACCAACATGTTTTATATTAAAGGAGCACTTCCCCCTTAAATGATCTTCTGTGTATCAACGGTCCCATGTCACCTCAAGTGCTGTCAACTATTTCTGTGACGACAAGTAATCGAAAAACTGAGAGAAGGCTTGAAATGGAAGTAAATGCCTAACTTCACACACCAGTAAAACACTATAAAACACAATCATACAAATACCAATTCAAACCAGTTGTTAAGATAGTGCACTTTATGATTGCACCAATGGAGGGAGTCAGAAAGAGCGACACAGGAAGAGAATAAGGTGTCGATGTGCCACGATGGACAGATGTGAACTCGATGGACAGATGTGGACTCGATGGACAGATGTGGACTCGATGAGTCGGATGAAAGTCTGTAACAGGCGACGCGACCGCCACAAACGTAAAAGTAATACAATATAACGAGGCATATCTGTCCCTGTCAATGTTTCAAAAGGGGCACGTGACCAAATAATGCTGGGAGCCGCTGCTGTAGGGGGCGCTATCTACGTACTGTCTCTTTAAATACAGCAACTTAAAGCCGCAGACTCTTTTGTTTTAGGGGATTATTTTAAGTCGATGTGCGTGTGTCCACACCAGGTTTCCACTACCCTCTGTACGGAAAGACGGCGGGCAGGGAGGAGTCAGAGGTGACTCCGCCCAGCCGAGGAGGAGTGGCGGGCGGCCAGCAGAGCGGAGACCCGTCCTCGTCCTCGTCCATGGAGCTGCTGCAGCAGCAGAGCCACCAGTACCACGGGAAATCCCCCGCTGTGAGACGCCGCACGCCGTCACACGACTACACCACCAAACAACGACACCGTCACCCTGTCACAACGCTTCACCGCCACACGGCTACGCCACCAAACAACGACACCGTCACCCTGTCACAACGCTTCACTGCCACACGACTACACCACCAAACAACGACACCGTCACCCTGTCACAACGCTTCACCGCCCCACGGCTACTCCACCAAACAACGACACCGTCACCCTGTCACAACGCTTCACCGCCACACGACTACACCACCAAACAACGACACCGTCACCCTGTCACAACGCTTCACCGCCACACAACTACACCACCAAACAACGACACCGTCACCCTGTCACAACGCTTCACCGCCACACGACTACACCACCAAACAACGACACCGTCACCCTGTCACAACGCTTCACCGCCACACGACTACACCACCAAACAACGACACCGTCACCCTGTCACAACGCTTCACCGCCACACGACTACACCACCAAACAACGACACCGTCACCCTGTCACAACGCTTCACCGCCTCACGACTACGCCACCAAATACGACACCGTCACCCTGTCACAGCGCTTCACCGCCCCACGACTACACCACCAAACAACGACACCGTCACCCTGTCACAACGCTTCACCGCCCCACGGCTACACCACCAAACAACGACACCGTCACAACGCTTCACCGCCACACGACTACACCACCAAACAACGACACCGTCACCCTGTCACAACACTTCACCGCCACACGACTACACCACCAAACAACGACACCGTCACCCTGTCACAACACTTCACCGCCACACGACTACACCACCAAACAACGACACCGTCACCCTGTCACAACGCTTCACCGCCACACGGCTACACCACCAAACAACGACACCGTCACCCTGTCACAACACTTCACCGCCACACGACTACGCCACCAAACAACGACACCGTCACCCTGTCACAGCGCTTCACCGCCACACGACTACACCACCAAACCACCCTAACCCTATCATTTTTCATTCTTATATCTTTCCACTTAATGAGCTTTGCCTGAGAACTAAGATGGTCATTGGCCGGTCTAATCGTTAATGTAATAATAGAGAACATTAGAGGAGGAAGTAGAAATAAAAGTGAATGCTATTTAGTTTCTACCACAAGTTAATAATATAAATACATATTTGTATTTGTATATTTGTATACCTTTCTTTCAAGTACAAATTAGTTACTTTGTGGAGACGCAACAGGAGCAGTCAATGTGTGTGTGTGGTGTGTGTGTGTGTGTGTGTGTGTGTGTGTGTGCGCAGCCCGGCGAGAAGGGTTCCCCAGAGGGAGAGAGAGAGACGGAGCGAGAGAGGAACCACGTTTCGTTCGCCCGACACCTCCACACACACCACCACACACACCTGGGCATGAGCTACACCCTGATGTCAGGACAGTACGACATCTACCAAGGTACTGCGCACGCACACGCACACGCACACACACACACACACACACACATGATAAATAAGATCAGTGGTTTGGCGCGGTGATCAGGTGATCATGTGATCAGGATCAGACCTGCTCCATATCCCGATATATTTTATTTAAAGCTTAATGTGGTTAATCGCAGACAAGACAGAATATCTGTTAATACCTGCTTCAGAGAACTCAGTATAAATACGAGCTCCTCTGACCTCTGACCCTTCAATCAGAGAAAACATAGAACATTTAAAAAAAATAGCAACTTTTCTGAAAGTTCTGAGACAAAGAAGACTTTTCTGGAAGATTCTCACCTGAACAGAATATTTCAGGTTTGCGGGACGTTTTATTTTGAAAGGTGCTTTCCTTCCTGTGTTGCAGGGCTGAGCTCCCGCTCGCTGGTCTCCAGTCAGCAGGTGTCGGCTTCCTCCTCTGCTGGTGAGTTGGCTGCATTGTAAACATATTATTCCTCACTGATTCACCACTTCATCAATGCGTTTCTCCCTGAATGAGTATTCAAGCTCTGAGGTTATCGACTCGCTTTCCTCGTGTTGAAAAAGAGAGAAACGTCTCTTTCAAGACTGAGTGATGGATAATTGAATAATAATTGATTCATAAATTGCGGCTTTGTCATAAAAAATATATTTTACTCCCAATGATCCGGTTAACATTAAAGAACTTGCACCTTGTTCCATTTTAATCCTTAAAGCTGTAAAATGTCTTCATCCACTGAGCTGTTCTTTCACATGATTCAAATTACAATTTATCTCACAAAATGAATTGGCTGAGTCTTCTCTTCTTTCATAAAATGAGATCTGCGATCAGAATAAGTGAGAGAAGTTGGACGCGTCTTCTCTCCGTGGTAAAGTGTCTCCATCTATCTTCTACTTTATGGTCTGTTAGAGGCCTGTCAATCAGCGTGTAGCCCCGCCCTAAAGCGCCCCCTGCTTTATGGTCTGTTCTCTAAATGGACCATAATTCACTAAATGAACATCATGTTGTGTTGAAGAAGACTTGAAACTAGAGACTGAGACCATAAACTCATGTTTACAACGTTTACTGAGGGAATAAATCAAGAGAGAAGTAGAGTCATTTCCTCATAGACGTCTAGGGGAGGCAGAGGGAGTTCGGCCCCCCTGCTGGTCCACTTACAGGAGGAAGTAGAGTCATTTCCTCATAGACGTCTATGGGACAGAGGAGTCGCCCCCTGCTGGTCACTACAGAGAAGTAGAGTCATTTCCTCATAGACGTCTATGGGAGCAGAGGAGTCGCCCCCTGCTGGTCACTACAGAGAAGTAGAGTCATTTCCTCATAGACGTCTATGGGAGCAGAGGAGTCGCCCCCTGCTGGTCACTACAGAGAAGTAGAGTCATTTCCTCATAGACGTCTATGGGAGCAGAGGAGTCGCCCCCTGCTGGTCACTACAGAGAAGTAGAGTCATTTCCTCATAGACGTCTATGGGAGCAGAGGAGTCGCCCCCTGCTGGTCACTACAGAGAAGTAGAGTCATTTCCTCATAGACGTCTATGGGAGCAGAGGAGTCGCCCCCTGCTGGTCACTACAGAGAAGTAGAGTCATTTCCTCATAGACGTCTATGGGAGCAGAGGAGTCGCCCCCTGCTGGTCACTAGCGAGGATGCAGCTTTAACACGTGAAGCTCTGACTCAAAGAACTGGAGTTGCTGCCTGGGTTTAGGCAACATAACTGCCCGCTGAGCTTTAGGTAGTGATGTCTTAACGTCTCAATCTCGACACCTCAAGTCTAGTTTCTCAGATAATAAGCCGCCATGTTCCTGAAATCCTGTGTTTTGTCCTCTTTGTCTCCGCAGAGGGCGAAGGGAAGAAGTAGCACCATGTGAGAGACGTCGTCTCACACGAGGAACGGCAGATTTATCAGACACCTAATAAGCTTCGCCTCCCTGAGAGGCAGAAAGATCAAACAACAGAAAGGTCACGAACAAACAACCCCCCCCCCCCCCCCCTTTTGTATCACGTCCGCGAGCCGACGGACGGACGGCTAAAACTCAACGTCCCAGAATGCCGCGTGTCAGCCCAGCTGTGACGATCAACTTTATTTAAAAAAAAAGAAACGCACATTTCCGATGACGAAGTGACTGAATGTACTGAAGAAGACTCTCCCGACAGAGTCCATCTCCTTTTCCTAAAAACGGCCGGCCGGACGCAGCGCTACGAAGCTGAAGAGTAACTATTCTACTTCTTATTCTCATTCTGATTATCCAAGTGCTCCTCCTCCTCCCATAGTGCCGCCGCTGCATTTGTGTTGCTAAGCTGTACTTGAGCGTAACCATGTTGATTGTATTGTCTTTCTGTGAGAGTGCACCGTCACATGCACCACGTGGTGTAGATATTCTGTACAGATTCATGGCGGAGCCCTGACACCTCGCCTTTACTCGCCTTTTACGTTGGCCCCGCCATGTTGCACAGGTCCCGTTTGCCCCTCTGATTTCTCCTCGGCCCACTTTGGTTCCGTCGCGTGACGGCAAAGCAGAGGAGGTGGAACCGAACTGAGCCGGGACGCGATCAAACGTGAGTCAGTGCTTTCACACTCACCTCTGAGCCGCTGCTCGCGTCAAAGTCACTTTTCTTGCTTTCGTCTTCGCGCCGAACAAAGATGGAAACTGGAGGCAGCTCGTTTCCATGTTTTCGATTCTTTGTTGAAGGCGAGAAACGTGAGATCGATCAAACACCAGAACAAAGGAGCACGTGAGGCTGTTGGATACGCCGCTGTCTCATATTACAGACAATCGGCAAAGATCCCTAATACGCAGGTGAATCCGAGGTCCGACCTGGAGCCCGCGGGCGCGAGCGTGGCGCTAATGAGTGACAGGTGGTCGTACTCCAAACCTGTGATGGCACCAGACTCTCTGCAGCTTGAAGTATTCGGCAGCAGCTCCACACTGAACAACCACAACAAGACAGAAAATGTCCTTGAACGCTGAAGAACACCGGAATTTTCCTTCATTTGAAATGCCCACATGTTCACCGCCAGTGAGGCTCCCACGTCCCACAATCCTTTGCTCCGCCGCGGCTCCCGCGCTTCCCCTCCACAAGCCGACTAGCTCGCCGCTGAGTCGCATTGATGGAACATACAGAGCTTCAGATGCTTCCAATCTACGAGCTCCCCACTAGGTGGCGATAGATACTACGCACTGCACACTTAAAGGTACAGGCTCCACCACATCCCAGAGGGGAGTGTTGTACTTTTTACTTCACTATATTTGACAACTGTGATTCATTTAAAGATTCACATTAATAGGAAACAAATCGAATGTGATGTGTTATTGTGGACAGATACAGAACTCCATTACAGCTTTGGAGTTAACAAGTGTATGAAGTCATTGAACGCTAACTAGCAGTGAAAACATCATATTTATATTTCAGTTATATTTATAATCCAGTTATATAGTATAGATTTATTTTTTTGCATTCTTCTTCAATTCAGCCTTGAGTTGTAATTCTGAGCCGTAGATTTACTTTTTTAATCACAAAAAGGTGTCAATTTGGCTGCAAACATCCAATATTTGTATAGTTAATTCAGTTCATTCAAAACTAGTTATTAAAAAAACAACTTTGATAATAAAAGTTGCTAATTTAGGCTCAATTTAATTCGTATTGATGCAACACCATAGCTGGCATTAATAAAAACTAAAACAATAACAATCCTCGTGTATCTATAAAGATCATTTACAAGTTAACACTTGTCCCAACTGCTGTACACTTCACATATATTACAAAAAAACATAAAAGCAGCGATGTAAGACCACACAATTTAAACACAGAGGACCGAGTAGCTCTGGCGGGGAGTTAAGCGTGTCTCCGTACGAACACGCGTGGTGGAAACCTGAAGGTGTGAATCAGCGGCTCACCTGCATAGTGTCTGTGCTCCTTCCCCTACTTGAATATAGCGCTATATATGAACTCTGTTTACGCGGCGCTGTCGTCTCCATGGAGACGCAGCCCCGTCTTATAAAGGCTGCTTGGTGTGTGTTCAGTTAAAACCCGCCCGGCGTCTCCAGTTAACAACTGAAATCGTATAACCATGAAAAACTGCTGTTGCTTTTTTATACTGTATATGCCTTAATTCATATGTTTGGCAATCATGATTAAAGAATGTTTTATATAATTATTTGTCTGTGGAGTTTTGTATTAGAAAGTTACTCTGAAATCCACTTTAATAAATGATGTGGCTCAGCAGAGGTTGTTCTTCCTGAGGCAGCTGAAGAAATTCAACCTGCCAAAGACGATGATGGTCCACTTCTACACGGCCATCATGGAGTCCGTCCTCTGCTCCTCCATCAGCGTCTGGTACGCTGCAGCCACAGCCAAGGACAAGGGCAGGCTGCAGCGTGTCCTCCGCTCTGCAGAGAGGCTGATCGGCTGCAATCTGCCGTCCCTGCAGGACTTGTTCGCTTCCAGGTCTCTGAAGCAGCTAAAAAGATGGTAGCCGACCCCTCTCACCCCGGACATAAACTGTTAGTGCCCCTTCCATCTGGCAGGAGGCTGAGGAACACTGACGCCTCTCCGTCGTCACTTCCGCCTTTAAAACAAAATGGGTGGCGCCAAAGCTTGACAACAAAGCGGCTGTTTGCTGCCTTTAACCAACGGGCGCTAAACTAAAAAGTCCCACCGTGTTTCAAACGTCGTGTTAAATGGAGGTTTATGAAACAGTTGACAGTTTTAAAGAGGACTTCTAATAAGTGGGACATCAGTTTTCCGTTAAAGTTTTATAAATGTCATCATGGCTTCGAAGAGCGACCAACTCCTCATCGTTGTGTCCATCCTGGAAGGTAAGTTCCCTCAAGAAGTAATGTAAACATCATGTGAGAGGATACGAGGTACTCAGTCCTTAATACTTTAATACACCACCTTTAACTCACGGGCGGCGAGTAGCTAGCTAGCTAGCTTTAGCATTCTGAAGGGACGTCAACTGTCATTCAAAACTGAAAACTTTATTGTTTCTGTCTCGACAACACACTCAATACTCTTACAAGTTAAAAGTTCTGCATTGAAATTCTAATACGAAATGTATGAAAATAAACGTGAAAACTCGTTGTGCAATTAGGTTTTACGAAAGGTAAAATAAATGTTTTTTTTGTTAATTTAGTAGAACCCAGCCTGACTAACTACTAATGTTATATATTCAGATTCATCATTTATCATGTTAAATACAATAATAGAAGAATGCAATAAGAAGAGAACCACGCGTCTCTCAAATCTGTGGTTATAAATACTTTGTGCACAAGTAAAAGTGAACTAATATAAGTTTAATTAAACAGACAAACAGACGCGTACTAGAAACACTGTTGTGCACTAATGACATGTTAGTTTATTGTTGCTCACACATTCACCTTAAAGCAGGATTCTAATGTGTTGAGGTGGTCGTGGTGCAGCGGCAAGCTTGGCGGGTGCGAGCCCCGGCTGCTCCATGTCCCATGTCCAAGTGCCCCTGAGCAAGACACGAACCCCTAACTGGTCCCCGGGCAAAATGTAAAAGCCATGAGTTAATAATGTTAATAATGTAGGTCACTTCGGATAAAAGCGTCAGCTAAATGACCTGTAATGTAATGACGGGAATATTGTGAAAATGAGACTATACTGTCCTTTTTGTTATTTTAAGATTTCATTATTAATAATAATAATCTTCTGGTTCAGTTATTTTCTGACGAAAATAGGCTTCCATCAAGGAATATGATGCATTATTGCATGTATTTTAATTGATTGAGCTCAAGCTTCATTTAAACTTTTTATTATTCATTTAGCCCACACCACAACATTACTCCTCATTTAATAACAATAATGATCAATAAAAGGATAAACACCAAATCTTCACATATGTGTAGCTCGAAACATAAGTATTACATAAATACTTTAATGTGTTGCTTTCCTCATCAATGACGCTGTCTTATAGTTAATAAATGTCCTTTTTCAGTGTTCGTGTTAACACAGTGGAATTAAATTAAAGACTCCCATAGAGAAAGAGCTGGAGTTTATAGAGTTGTTTCTTAGATGTAAAGTCCCTCTCTGTGTGTTTTATTAATCTCACTCATTGAACGGAAAAGATGAGCCTCCCAAAAACTCCCGTCTTTGTCTGCAGCCTCGTTGTAACAGACTCGACTTCTCCTTCAACCAGGTCGCCACTTCCCCAAGAGCCCCCGCCTCAGTCTGGTGGTCCAGGTGAGCTTCGACGGCGAGCAGCTGGCCACGGACCCGGTGGAGCACCGGGACCAGCCGCTCTTCAGCACCGAGCTGGCCTGGGAGCTGGACCGCCGGACGCTGCACCAGCACAGGTGGGGAGCTCGGCGCCTTTAGCGTCAGTTAGCTAGCAGGCTAATCTAGATTCTTGTCCAGCTGCAACTAATACGTACTTTCACAGTCAATGTGTCTCATTTCTTTCTCTGCTAATCGGCTAATTCATACTTTCATAAAATTCTGACTTGAACCATTAAATATGTTACATTTGCACACAAAAATGCTGTCGTTTTGTCTTTTTATTTTAATTAAAGTTATTAATTTCATTAATTTCAGTTATTAATTCATAAACCGTGAACTATATCTCATGGATAGAATTTACCCTCCACGGTAATGAAATGTTTGGACACATCGGCACAGGAAAAGCAGAGGAGGAGGATCCTCTATCAGGATGGACAGAATCCCCCCCCACTAATGTTGTAGACCAAGGGGAAACACTGTAGTATAGAATGTTTGATTATGACATTACCAGTATGTTAATCATCATAATAATATTCCTTCTACACATCTACTTTTTCACAAAAGGTTTTCACCTAATATTTTTTTACTTTCATTTCCATGACATTTTTTCACCTGACATTTTCTTCCATGATATATTTCGACCTAAAATATTTGGACTCTTTTTTTTTTCCCTTTTTTTTCCGACATCAACATTATTTTACACAACCTAATTTGAATTTTTTAGAACATCTTTCGACCTGATATTTATTGTTTTTTGCTTCCATGACATATGACATATTTTGGCTTTTTTTCCCCCCAAAACTTACATAAACATTTTCTGACTTTTTTTGACACAACCTACTTTGACTTTTTTTTGAATAGTTATTTTTCATGACATTTTTAAACCTAATATTTTTGGACTTTAAAAGTTGTTTTGAACTTTTCTTTTCCAATTATTTTTCACCCAATATTATTACTTTTTGTTTTCCACGATATTTCTCGACTTAACATATTTGGAAAAAACATTTTTCAACCCTAGTTAATTGTGAACATTGAAGCATCTTCTGTCCTCTCAGACTGCAGAGAACTCCCATCAAGCTTCAGTGTTTCGCCGTCGACCCGGAGACCAAGAGGAGCGAGAGCGTCGGCTATGTGGTCCTGGACCTCCGGTCCGTGCACGAGGTCCAACAGGTGACGGTCCATCGGTGACACGCCGGCTTGGCGTCGCCCGTTAACCGGTGACTGAGACTCGTGCTTTGCCCCCCCCGCCCCCCTTTAGGAGCCTCGCTGGTTCCCGCTGCTGAGCAGCCGCTACACCAAACAGAGGCCGGCGCTCCTCGTGGGCGCGGCGCTGGAGAGCGACGCCAAGCCCGCCGAACCCTCGCCTGATGGGTTCAAGGCCAAGAAGGCCCCGCCCAGACGAGGTCAGCTGTTCCCATTTCACCCAGTGTTCCTGCTGAGCTGTTAGCGTGTAGCTGTGTATCAAGCTCCTGCTTCCTGATGTAGGACAGGAGGAAGGCTCCTACAGGCAGAATGTTATCGGCTCGTCCGCCTTGTTTTCAAGAAATGCTTTGTTGAGAACATCCAAACGGATGAACTCCTCTCACGTGAAACAACACGGATCCACGAGGCGCTCGGCAGTGATGTCACGGCTCTGTTCACGTTCATCTTTTTCATATCCTGCCGTTGAAGGTGGTCCGGCCGTCACCGACCTGCTGCCGGCCCGGCTGGAGGCCACGCTGGTCCCGGAGCAGGGCTACCACCAGGTCGGCCCCGCTGACTCCTGCTCCGACATGTTCGTGCTGTCCGTCACCGTGGCCTTTGCTACCAAACTGGAGCAGGTGGGGTTCCATCCTCGGGGAGCGTGAGGCTCCTTTGGTCAATGCAGAGATCCGTACAGTAACACCCCCCCCCCCCCCCCCCTCTCCGCAGTTGATCCCCAGCACCACCAAGCTGTCGGCGGAGGGGTCGGGCTTCTTCTTCTACTACTCCCTGCTCGGCAACGACATCACCAGCGAGCCCTTCGCCAGCCTGCTGAGCCCCGACTTCGAGCCGGAGCGCGCCTCCGTGCGCATCCGCAGCAGCAAACAGGTCCTACGCGCCTTCCTGTCCCAGCAGCCCGGCCTACAGGTGAGAGCCCCGCCCTCTTTAGTCCTGCCCCCCCTCACAGTTTGAGCCCTTTTACGGACACCTTTTCCGTAAGTCTGCATTAGATGCATGGGAATTACCCACAATCCTTTGCAGTGTGACGCTAATAGCACAGTGGCAACATGGAGACAAAGAAGAGATAAACACAACCGCTGAGGGTTTAGGGGGAGACGTCGGGATCGGGCCGGCTGATTGGATGAGCCTCCCATCCGTCTCACCTGCTGGGCTTCGGTTTTTGTCGCCCGTCTCCGGTCCTGGTCAGATCCACCTCTGCTGTGGGACTCGCTCCCTGGGGGGCACCGACGTCCCCCTCGCCGCTCTCTCTGCCGTGTGCGTGGACCTGGAGAACAAGGCGGCCACGGTGGAGGGGGCGTTTGTTCTGCAACCCCTCGAACGCAGCAACCGGGCGCCGTCGGCTCTGCCCGCCAACCTGCAGCCGACTGTGGGGGTGGCGGTCACCCTGAGGAGGGAGGAGGTCACACCTCAGGTACACACACACACACACACACACACACACACACAGACAGACCTTGAAGTTTGGCATCATCAACAGGAGGAGGAGCTAGTAGCGGTAGCAGCACTGCTAATGGTTAACAGCTGACTACATTATGATGCGTTCAGGCTCTGTGAAAATGAGGACATTATTAATCTGTAAAATGTAGTTTAAATCCCGACCCGCACTCTCCGCTCTGCATGTGATAAACTGCTTGTTCCTCCTCACTGAGAGCAAAACACTCGACTAGATCTCCACTCTTTGCTGTCCTGCTCCTAAATGGTGGAAGGAGG